TAGAATTTACAAAATATTTCTGGAAAAATTATATCATAGTAAAATTATATTTGTGTAATGAAATTAGTAATCATCTATTATAATGAATAATTCGTTAACGCTATAATGAAGATTCTTATAATGAAGTCCTGATCAGCTGGATCAGCAGCTTCGTTATATTGAGGTGTGACTGTACTTTTATTAAAATTTACATAAACACAAATGCCTAACATGTTGTGTAGCTATAATATATCATACTAAGGTATTTCTTTTTAAAAATATTTTTTTTTGAACAATTTCGGCTTCATACGAGTTCTTTTAGTCATCATTAAGTTTCTCGCATCAGAAAAAAGGCGTTTACTTGCAGTAGATGTTGCAGAAACTCCTAAATACTTTTGAGTAAGATGAGCTAAAATTGAAAATTGCTTTTTTTTTCATTCCACCACACCAGGGGATCTGAACATAAAGAAATTTCGGGTAACTGATAATATTCAACAATTTCATCGAATGCTACTATACTATCTTTGGTATTAAGCCATTCTATTTTTGTTTTTCTCTTCTTTGCTAAAGGTTTCAGTTGAGATTGTTTTAATATGCCAGTTTCATTTTGATATTTTCTTTTTCTTGTTCAAATAGTTTAAAAAAATGCTGTTTTATATCAGTTTGTTGATCTTTTAACGTAAAATAAAGGTTTTTAAACTGAGGATCAAGGATGGAGGAGATTAGAAGTTCAGTGGTAAGTGTAGGATAATATTTTTTCATATTTCTATATAATATTTTCTTAACTTTGTTAAGTAAGCCAAAAGTACTAACAGGCTCATTAATATTATAATTTAGCATAGGATTTTATTCTTCATTGTTTTCAAATACATCATCCTCTTATTCATCAATATTAAAGTCTTGATCATCTGATAAATTAGTTGATTCAGTTCTAAGCATTTTAATAATTTTCACTAACATTGAGCACATATACTATTCATAACATAATTACTTCTACCTAGATCTTCTGTTGCATCTGTAAATGTTGATAAAATTTCTGTTAAATCAGTAAGAAAATTTCATTCATGGTCTGAAATCATTATCTGCTTTAACCTTTTCACATCTCTCTTTAAATCTGAATCTGTATTACTTGAAAGAATATTTTGCAAAATTTTAATTCAACTTTATAAATAGATTAAACGTAACCAAGCAAGGTAGCTAGAATTTTAACGAGTGGATACGTCATTAATCACTTGAAGGTATTTTGATGTGCCTTTAACATTCTAAATCAAATTATTATCATTAATTATTATATTAATATTTTTTTAAAATTCTGAATATTAAATCATATTTAATAAATTTTTTATTAATATATCTTTATTTTATTAAATTATCATTATACATATTATACAAAATAATATCATTTGTTTATAATCTAATAGTTATATATTTATTTATTTTAAAAGATTAAATTCAATTTAAAAAAACTTACAATATATTTATTGGTTTCCAAGCTTTCATTTTTATCTACATTTGGATATTTTTTTGAATATCTTCCAAATGTTCCAATTGTTTAGAACGTGTGAAAAATTTGATTAGACGCGTAATCCTTGCAATCAATACTTTTATCAGAACCAATCCTTTTCCAATAACAAGTTAAAGAATATGTGCATTACATGCTTTCCATTTGACTCCATTCATATCTGAAATTGCTTTCTTCATATTCATGGTATTATCAGTAGTAATCATAAATAGCTTTTCACGTGAATTCCATTCTATTAAAGTTTCTTCCAAACTTTCAGCAATATATTGAGTGGTATGTAGATACTGAACATAATTCACAGTCAAAGTAACTTCATGTAATTCAAATTTAGTATTGATAAATGAACAAGTGATACTAATATAACCTTACCCATTTCATGCGATCCACATGTTCGTGGTTAATGATACACTTTTTGCTTCTATATTGATTTTTCAATTAATGCCAGTAGCATAAAGTTATAAGAATTAGAAATTATTTTTTTGATTCCTTTTTCTTCTGGTATTTCAAAAGCAGGATCTAATTCACTAATTAGTTGACGGAATGAAGGATTTCGAACTACAAATAGTGGTTGAAGGTCATTTACTATCCAATCAGTTAGAAATTAACGTAGTTTATATTGCCAACTTTCTTTATGTTTTTGAGTTTTTACAATGGTTGGAAGGGTTGTCTAATTCTGTATAGTGAAATAAATAAATAATTTTTTATAATTTACAAAAAAAAATAATAAATTAAATTTAAAGAATTAAAACAAAAATACTAACTTGATTTTTTTGCCCTCATTAGTTATTTCATGATTGTTCAATAAGTGGTTAATAGCATTTCCAGTTGAACCATCATTAACATAATAAGTTCCGCATTTGTTTCCATTAACATCCAGAACTTTACATCTTTTAAGTGATTCCCTTTTTCACTTAATCTTTCTTCAATATCTACTTCTTCAAAATATGTTCAAGTCCAATTTCTTTTTTTTGACCAACTTTTATTTTCTTATTTGGTGATTCTGAAGTTACTTCTCAACCTATTATATTTATATTATTTATAATTATAATGTAATATATTATGTAATGTAAAGCAGAAATACAAAAAATAGTTAGTCACATAACATCTCTTTGCTAATCAATCTATATATATATGTTACTTATCAGGTCTATCCAGTTAAATCCGATAGGTAATATTTGCATCCAAATGACAATCTGTTAGTCAATTTTCAATTCAGATATCTGATAATAACAAATATCTGTTAGCAATCCGGATTAACAAATTTCAGGTCTAAACACTAACCCAGAGGCTGAAAAAGATAAAATAGAAGGCCAAGTGATTTGCTATTATGGTGAAAAAAACTTGTCAGACATCCTAACTCTAGATAATATAGTTACAGGAAATAATGAGGGATTAATGGCAATTTTTGAAGATATTCTATCTAAGCAACAAAATATTTCATTTTGGTTATTGAGAATGAAGGATTAACAGAAAGGATAAATGAAACATACTGTTATGTATTATGTCTTTATGGTCACTTTATTAATAGCTAAAAGGCATTGATAACTCTTATAAACCTTCAAGTTTTCTTTGATATTCTCATACCAGATAGAAAGACTTCAGATGAATGTAAAAAAGAGGTAAGCGAAATTCTCTCTGGTATTGTGAAATCATTTAAAATGGAGTACATTAAAGCTTTTTCTTTTCGGGGTTATCATACCAAAAAAAGTCATATTTACGAATTTATACGAATGGTGCTGGAGAGAGAAAGAAAGCAATCCAAGTTATCCAAGAAAATAATTTCAAAACTGCTTCAGATGATTTATACTCATTCCACCAAAAGGTGACTTGAAAAAATGGAATTCAATTCTCTAAATAATCCACAATAAATAAATATATATGCAAGAAAGGCAAGCAGACTATCCTGCTTTGTCTGCACAAATTCTATGTAACTATAAAAGATTTCTATCTGCTAGAAGATCTTACAATAATAAGTGACCGATTTCCCATTTCAGCTCTCTTATGAGATTGTACTCTTGTTCTCTCTTGGAATATAGAGACCCAATTATGAAAGTTAAGCGAATTTGCCAAAGTCCTTGATCTGAATCATAATGTTTTTATAATTTGCATGACATTGCATTGGAAAGATGATCCAAAACCACTAAAACAAATATGTCTTGTTGATATTGAGACAGAACCAGATCCATGCTGGATCACAATCATTTGCAGAAATCAAGTAAATCTGCTAAAAACTTTCACTCTCTGCATTTGTCTCTGACATCCTAGTTGGGTTTAATGATTCAGACTATAATTGGCATTTTATAATGGAAAGAGTATATTACCTTAACATATTCGAATAGATATAAAAGCGAATGATAGGAAAGTTCAAAACAAAGGACGAAATCTTAAAGTAGAAATACTGTGAAAAGATAGAAGCAAAATCTGAAAATAATTTCAAGATGAAAGGAAAGAAAAAGGATACAGATGAAAAGGGAACTATATAGGAATTGGATAAGGAAATCAAGGAAAAGAAAGATTATATGGGAGCAATTAAGATCAAAATTACTGAGGAAAAGAATTTCTTTTTAGTTTCCTTAAACTGCCAGGTTGAGTATTAATTGACGTTTTAGTGTGTCTCAAAAACGTTACCCTGTTTTGAAGTCAAAAAGAAAAGGTCACTTAAATTCTTCTTAAAAAAGTATGATCTTGAGACACTAAAGCTGACATGCCATATGATAAAATGTGAAGAATCTATTCAGAGGCAAAAAAGACCCTTCTTTTTTAACTGCAAGAAAAATGTGAGAAGTAGCTAATTATTGTATTATAAATGCATTATGTTGCTAGGAGCTTTTGGTAAAGTTAAGTTAAATAAATGATTATAGAGAAGTCTCTTCCATAGCTCATGTATCTTTGTTCGACTCACACTATCATGCAAATGGAATGAAGATACAAAACCTTTTGGACACTTATGCTTTTAAATGTGATATAGTATTTAGTTCAAGAGTATACGAAAATATAGAAAAAGGAAAATATTCTGACACATATGTTTTTCTACCTGAAAAGGGAATTGAAATGAGAAAACCTGTAATGGGATTGGACTTTATCTCATTATATCCCAGTCTCATTATGACTTACAATCTCTCATAAATAATACTAATACATAGAGAGGTCAATATTGCGAAAAAAAATGGAAACATTTTACATAAGATTGAGTTTTCATTCAATAATCACACTGTTCAAGCTTGAAGTGTAAGACATAATAATCAATTCGAAAAGAAGGGTTTATTTCCTATTGTATTAGAGGATTTATTCAATAAGAGAGTAGAGCTTAAAGCACATCTTACCCACTAGGAAAGAAAAGCTACAACTTAAAGAGATGATAAATTCAGCTAAAAAAAAAGCAAAAGAATTCTAGAAAGCTTAAATTCAAAATATTCATCTATATGTTTCGATTATAATTATTCAGATTCAAAACGAAGAGCTTTGAAAGTATATATAAATACCTTTATAGGGAGGCAAGCAATTCAAAATCTTTCTTTATGAATTAGCTAGAGGAACTACTTCAGCAGGAAAATATAACCTTAATCTTGTTGCAGAATTCGTAACAAAGAAAGGGTTTGAGATAAAATATGATGATACTGATTCTTTATATCTCATCTGTTCAGATAAGTATTATGAAAAATGTGATGAAGCCTTCTCCAGAAAAGATCTTTCTAAAGAAGTGTATTTTACTGAAATGGTCAAAATTACTATAATTGTGATGAAAAGCTTACAAAATCAAGTAAATGCTTATCTTGGGATAAAAAATAGCACATCTTATCTTAAGATAGCATATGAAGAGGTATTATTTCCATCTGCTTCACTAGCAAGAAAAATATTTTGGTGTATCACATAAAGAGGTGGTCAATTTTAGGCCAGATGATCTCTTTATGAGAGGAATTGATACTGTGAAGCAAGAGAATTCTGAGCTCTTCAGGTTTATTGGAGAAAAGATTATGTGGGAGGCAATGGATATCAATAATACATGTTCAATTTGTAAAATTGTTGAAGATGCTCTCTGGGATGCTAGATTTAAGTGGTGGGATTTTAATTAGTTTATTGCAATGTCTAAATGAAAGACTAAAGGAGACCTCACATGCAATAAAATCTTTATGAAGCGGATGAGAGAAAGAATAGCAAGTGGAGAAAAAAATATAAAGATTCCTGACTCTGGAAAACACTTTAGCTATATTGTAGTGAATTACAACTCTCGTTAAAAAAAAGATGGTTCAAAATTGACAAGAAAGGATAATTATATGAAGTTTCCAGAAATTGCAAAAGAGTTTAATATGAAGATAGATATTAGCCACTATTTAGAATAAACAGTAGGAATGTATGCACATTTTACCAATAAGGATGATATGTTCCTACTACTTTTATCAGATAAAATAATGCAGATTAAAGATTCAGATATAAGGGAAAAGCAGATTGATAAATATTCCTAAAAAAAAAGCAAAAAACTGGCTTATAAAATATATCAAGAGTCTTCAATAAACTTTCTAGGTATTTTAAGAATTTGCCTAAAACCACCTAATTATATGAATAAGTACTCTTAGCGCAATGTGACAATTTCAACTAAGAATACTTACCAGTTAAGACGCTTTGCATAATATTATTTACATATTTTTTTTTCTCATGCAATAATACCAGCTAACTTCAATTTTTATCTTTAAACTTCTGATCTCCAATCATACAGCCCAGTCTCAGAAATGTCTGGAGATGATAAAAAATAGTTTCAATTAAAAGAATACTCAGTATTACTTTTTTCTTTAACTTAGTGCTTCATAAATTCATATTTTTTTCCTAATTACAAACCATATAATTGCAATCAAAAATAATATAAATATGAAATATGTTAAGCAATAATAAGGATAGCTAATACTAGAGGCATTACTTGGATTAATGACATTACTTTTGCGTTATCTAATTGTTTCGCAACCCTTCTCTCAAAATAAACTTTTCAGAATATGCTAGTCGACTATGAACAGATTGATTAGGTAGGATATCTACTTAGTTAATGATCTCTTTTGTAATTCCACTTCTTGAAATCATCTCATTCCGGGTAATAGCTTTTGCAAAAACCTCTAATATATTTTCTCTGGAAAAACTTTTATTAAGTTCTATAACTTTATCTTCAAGATTACGCTCATAAATAAGGGGTCTTAAATTGTTACTGATCTAACCTGATAGCTTTTGCGATGAATTGTTCATAGGCGAAAGCGGAGAATTAGAAAGATCTTTTAAGGATAAATCATCCTTTGCCTGTTATAATTCAAGCTTAAAGAATCGTTCTCTTTGGGATCAGATGAGTTTATTTAAGCTGACTTCTCTAATAGTCCTCCTACTATATGAAATCGCGTTCTAGTTTCAAATCTAGCAACTTACCTTTTAATTTAACTACCTTAGCTTTAAAAGAAAGTATCTTGATCTTATCAGCAAACAAGGCTTTCTGTACTAAAGTTACCTCTCTCTTTAGTGTTTTAATATTGAATTTGAGTGATTTGATTTTAGCAGAATACAATTACACCTCAATATCATAAAGTTAGCATCTAGGCTGATCAGCCCTTCATTATAAGAAAATTCGTTATTACTATAATAAATTATTCGGTATAATAAATGATTACTGAAAAAGGAAAATACAAACATAATTTACTATGATATAATTAAAGTTGATATTATGATGTTATTTATAGAATAAGCTCTTTATGGTTAAAGTTAAAGTGATTTTGAAGCAATTTTAGTAATAGAATTAATCTTAAATAAAACAATTTATAACGATAAATATAAATTAATTTTTAAAAGTTTTGAGATCTCTTCATTAAACAAAAGAAAATTTATTAATGATGGTTCAAAATACAATTAATTAATATTATTTATTTATACAAAAAAAATAAAAAATTAAAAATTAAAAATTAAAAAAAAATAATAAAAAAAAAACAATAAAAAAATAAAATATCACAAAATGAAAATCCCAATCCGGCAAAAAAAATAAATTAGAAAAAAATAAAACCCTCATGTTAAAAATGAAAAATAAATTAAAATTTTAATAAAAAATATTAAAAAAAACAAAAAAAAATTAAACCTCTTACTTTACATCCCAACTACTGGTTTGCTATTAGCACATTACGGGCTTTTCTTCGATGATGCCTCGTAACTAAAAAATGTAAAAGATACTTAATATAAATCTAAAATTCCTAAAATTTTTTATTAAGAATTATCAATTAAATATAATAATTACCTGACCTATCCCAAAACCTAGTTTAGAATAGATCATAAAATTGTTTCCCATTATACGACCACCTTCTCCTCTTCTCGCACTATTACACCAATCACAAAAGTCCTAAAGAATACATATTAATTACTTATTAAGTTATATTTATCAACATATTATTATTTATTTATTTACTTACCCCATAATTTCTTATCAGATTTCTCCACTTCTTCTCACAACGCTCTGCCAAAATCTCAATTTATTTTTACGATAAAAATAATGATATTTGTAGTTTCTTCTTCTTCTTTCTTTAACTAAGTAATCAGTCTCTGCATCTCCTCAAACGATTTTTGCGACAATCATTTTTATGATGATTTATTTGTAAAAAATTAAAAATTTAAAAATATTATGTTTTGAATTAATAAGAGATTATTTTTTTAAAAGTTTCAAAAATGAAAAATTAAATGATGGTAAAATACTTCCCTTTAAAAATAAATTTCATTATTATTGAATCGAAATTCTGATTTGATATCTTGTGAAAAAATTTTATTATTATTGAATCGAAATTCTGATTTGATATCTTGTGAAAAAATTTCATTATTATTGAATCGAAATTCTGATTTGATATCTTGTGAAAAAATCTCTTTATTATTGAATTGAAATTCTGATTTGATATCTCGTAAAAAATCTCTTTATTATTAAATTGAAATTTATCTTGAATAATACAATAAACTCACAATCGAAATGCTTAAACTCTTTGTGTTCAAAATTCTAACTCAGATTCCAAAAATAATTCAACTGTTGTATTATTTATAAAATTAGATCAACATAAATATAACTTAAGCAAATTTTTTAATACAACAGATCATACAATTAGAGACAATAATAATTCATCATTTGGATGATAAATATAAATTATTATAAAAAAATGACGTCACAATTTGGTAAAAAAACAATAGAAATTTCAACACAAGTTCAATACAAATTGGTTAAAAATTATAAAAAACAATATGAATTTTTCAACACAATTTCAATACTATTGCAGAGAGGTGTTATTTAGTCAATGCATTAAAATTTGTATTCCCATAATACCATTTATTATATTATTACGTTTGTTACGTAAAAAAAAAATACTCCCCAAATTATTAACGTCTTTGCATTAAAAAAAACAATTATAAAATAAAAAAATACTTCCCAAATTATTAACGTTTTTGCGTTAAAAAATAACAATTATAAAATAAAAAAAAATAGCACCAAATTATTATTAACGTTGTTACGTTAAAAAAAAATTACTATTATTCAATTATAATAACAAACTTATTGAGATTGGTTAGTCTCGCTGAAATAAACTGGATTTTCAAAGCTTCTTTTTTAAGCTTTTTAATAAGCTTTAATTCTTCATTATTCACATTGAAAAGTTCCTCCTGTTGTTTCAAATATAAATTACTTTATTACAGGGTTGGCATTTGGCCATTTGGCCAGTATTTGGCCATTAGCCACGGCCAAAATGGCCAAATTTTTTTTTAAGTTTTGGCTGGCCAAATTGGCCAAATATATATTTATATTTACCAATCTGATAATTCTAATTCAAATA